TCAGCTCGAAGGCGCGCAGCTGCTCGTGGTCGAAGGCGCGCTGCGCGAACACCACTCCACTCTGCTCGCTCACAGACACGTAGGAGGACAGCGCCTGAGGTTCCAGGTCGCTGGCCAAGATGGAGTAGGATATAAGGCCGTTGGGCCCCAAGTCTGGGTCAGAGGCACTGACTTGCGCAATAGAAGCACCAGGCGGGTTGTTCTCAGCCACGTGGACCAAGTAGGAGGCCTGGTGGAAAACCGGTGTGTTGTCGTTGACGTCAGCGATGTGCAGGGTGACGCCTGTTCTGGAGGAGAGTGGCGGCTTGCCTCTGTCAGTAGCTGTGATGGTGAGGTTGTACTCTGGTGTCTGCTCTCTGTCCAAGGCTCCATCTGTCACCAACTTGTATGAATTTTTGGACGAAGAAATTATCTTAAAAGGGACTTGACCTTCTAATCGACAACTGACCTCCCCGTTTTCCCCGGAATCTTGGTCATGTATTTTGATCAAAGCGATCAGTGTTCCCGGCACTGCGTTTTCTAGAATCACATCAAGTAGAGAACGAACTGTAACCTCTGGGCTGTTGTCATTTTCATCTTCAACGTCAATTTCAACTGTACATTGAGCAGCCAGTCCTCCACCATCCCTCCCTTCCACCACTATAGAATATCTTTTTATTTCTTCGAAATCCAGTGTCCTTAGAGTTGCAATTTCCCCGGTATTTGAATTCAGATCAAAGACTTGGCCAGCTCTGTGGAAGGAATAAGTGATTTCTGAGTTGACGCCCTCATCCTGGTCCGTGGCTGACACCTGAAGCACATGGGTGCCTGGGGGCACGTTTTCCCGAAGGCTGACCCTATACACGTCCTGGCTGAATACAGGGGGGTTATCATTGGCATCAGTAACCCGGATCCGGAGCTCAGTGGTGCCGCTTAGGGCTGGATCCCCACCGTCTAAGGCAGTCAGTACTAAACGATAGTAACTGTGTTGCTCGCGGTCCAAAGGTTTCTCCAACACCAATTCAGGGTATTTACTGCCATCTTGTTTCTCCTTATTTATCAAGGAGAAACTGGGGCTAGAAGAGAGTTTATAATTCTGTAGAGAGTTCAAGCCAATATCCGCATCTTCCGCCACGTCTAATATAAATCGCGTACCTGGCTGTGCAGACTCACTTATTTGCAGCTCAAAGGCATTTTGCGTGAATTCTGGCGAGTGATCATTGATATCCTTGATCTCCACATTCACGTGGTAAAAGTTTAACGGATTTTCAGCAACAGCCTCAAAGTCCAGAGCACAGGCCGCCTTCTTCCCGCATATCTGCTCCCGGTCTACCCTGCTGCTCACAAGTAACTCGCCACTCTCTGCGCTCACAGTGAAGTGAGGCTTCTCCGAACTGACCCGCAGTTTTCGAGTCGGTAACTCGTGCACACCGAGCCCCAGGTCCTTGGCCAGGTTCCCCACCACCGAGCCCTTGGGCATTTCCTCGGGAATCCTGTAGTGGATCTGCTCCGAGAGCGCCAGGCCGAACAATGACAGCAGAAAGGGAAAGAGCGCTCGCCGCCTCTCAGCCCAGCCCCACTCCCCAGCGCCGCTCCCCATCCCTCTGGCTCCCCTCAGTTTGCTCACCAGCCTGGAGACGGATTACCACTAACCTCTGTATGGCAGCTATCTGGAGCTCGGACCGGCTTTTAGTTCCAGTAGCGGGGGCCGGGAATTTGTCTTTTCCAGAGGAGGAAGTGGTGAAATGCTCGCGTAAGCGAGTCTGAGATGGGGCTGCCCTGGAAAGTGTGCTGCGGCTGCGCAAGGAGATCTCGCGCACCAAGCGCTCCACTTTGGCCAACAGCGGCGCCCACAGTCCTTTCTAGGAAACTGCAGCCTTCGCTGCTTCAGTTTAACCAGCGACAATCATTATAATTTTGTGCCTGACAAAGACATGTTTTTATGTCCAGATAATTAATAACTTAAATTATAAACACTCTTGGTAAGGTATCTTTCCTCGAGTTTAAAAACGATTAGGAATATGTTGGGTTTTGACAAAGACCTACACATATTGACCCGTTTCATTTATTTCATCATTCAACAACCGTGTACTGAACTCTTTATGCTAAAGACTGCAGTGGATATACAGCAATGAATAAGACACAGTACTTACCCTTAGAAACTTCAGAACCTACTGATTTTACACATTCATTTCTCTTTATTAGCTGTGATGTGCTGAAATAATTTTTATCCTTCATCAAATTTTATTCCTCCAATATTTCCAGGTAATTTTTTTTGTACCACATATGTTAAAGTTGAAAATAATTTTGTAAATGTGTGCAATTTTGTGTCAATCCCCAACCACGACATTTTCTTGATATCAGTGCTCTCTTTATGAAACTTTTTTCTTTTACTCTTCTGACCAACTCAATGATAATTCAATCAAGAAAAATTTCCCTATGATGTAGTCATGAGATATTTACCCTACTAAGTCCCTCTGCTTCATTTCTTAATATCATTTGAATTATGTCATTCCCTTTAGAGTACAGAAACTCATCCTCATCTGTGCACCTGTGATACACGGAGGCAATGACTTTGCAGTGGAAGGAATTGGGCACATGGTATGTTTCTTTGCATAAATTTACTTAATGAAGTGAGATTTGGTTAAATTCTTATTAACTCCATTTGTTAAACATTTAAAAAATGATTAGTGAATATTTTGAGGCAGGGTATGGGTTTTCTTTTTCATTAGGGCAACTTCATACTTTTTAAATTTGCAAACTGTCAGTAATGTAGTTGTCTCCTCAAAGGACCGTGGATCCAAACACTACAGAAAGTATAAAGTTAACTCCCACTCCACTGTATAGTCATCTACGCAAAATAGAGCGGAACACTGAATAAGCCTCGGAAAATAGCTTTTTCATTAATAACAAGATTTGCTATGTCTTCCACTTCCACCTGATGGCAATCAAACCGGAGGATTAGCTTTATCAAGTATGACAAAAGGGAATACAGAAGATGTGAAGTCCAGATGTCATCATTTTAAACTGAGTTAATCAGCCTGTTTAGAATTTGCACACATGAAACTTTTCTTCTTAAAAGCAACATTCTCCAGGTCTCTCTTCAGGAGCCCACAGACACATCACACATGGCTACATGACCAGAACAGCTTTTTAGAACTCTACTGAAACTTATTCTTCCGTATTTTACAAAAGTCACTTTCAGGAGTATGAAATGACATTTTATGTCACACATGACTCGATTATGTTTTGTTTTATGGGAGCTCATTGGTCACTCCCAGCTTTATATTCCATGGTACAAAACCTGAGTGGTCATCGACAAGCAGATATAACATTTAGGGACCAGGCTCACCTCCCACCAGGATACATCCTTCAAACTTGATTTATGTTTCAAAATACAGTTGTTGTTGTGTTGTTATGTACTATTGAGTTGGACCCGACTCACAGTGACCCCTCCTTGGGTTTCTGAGGCGCTATCACTACAGAAGTAGATTGCCCCATCTTCCTTCCGAGGAGTGGCTGGTGGGTTTGAACCGCCAGCCTTCTGGTTAGCAGTCAAGTGCCTTAGGCACTATGCTACCAGAGCTCCTCAAAACACAGTGAGAACTAATAAAGTTTTAGGAGGGCTCAGAAAAAAGGTTTATACTGAAGAAAATTTTGGGCCTAGTTATGGGTCCAAACTCTAAATATAAACCTGATAATTCTGAGGTGCACATTACTTTCACAAAGCTAATACAAGGATTTAGAAGTCTCAATAACTCTTCCTGACTACTGCTTTAGGAAATATGTGGGTTATTTGTAAAAATAAGAGAGAGCAGTACAATAGCAAACTTACCCTATGTGGGTGGGTAACTAATTCTTAAGTGAGTGAGTGATAATAAGAATAAAATAGTGGAAGCCTTTAAAATTTGAGAGTTCACAACGAAAATAGCTTGTCCAACATTTTTGAAAGCCAATGAAACAACTGATGACAGAGTTCAATATGAAAATATTACCACTAAGATAAATCCAAAACTTCTGTTGTGTCTTAGTATTTTTTGGGGTCTGACTCAATGGCAGTGTTTTTTTTTGGGGGGGGGTATCTTCACATTACTTGCTTGTTAACATAAAACGTCATATCTAATACAATTTCTCTAAAAATAAAAATAAAGAAAGACATTAACTCACCTTAATACAAGCGGCTTGATCCTTACATTCATGGAAATCTATAGATGTTAACAAGGGATCATTTTTCTCACAGCTTTCTTGGCTGATGAGCATGTCCGCGTAATTGGGCTGAGGGAAGATAACGTGGCTCTTCCCGGAGTCTGCGGTGAGGGAGACTTCGTGGGAATAGGTCTGCAGGAAAGCCTGTACCCCATCGATGCCCACAAAGTGAGATGAGGGCACGCCCGCCAACTCCCCTCCTGTAGCCTGGAACAGACGCGACCTGTGCCAGCGCCGCAGCCTGAGTGTCAGCAGTACAATGACAAAAGCGAGGAAGACGCAGGAGACCACCGCCACAGCCAATACCAGGTACGTCGTGAGGCCAGAGTCACGTGGGTTAGCGGGAGAGTCGAGGGTGCTCAGGTCTGCTAGGACGTCGGGAATGCTATCGGCCACCGCCACTGTGAGTGTGACGGTGGCGGAGAGAGGGGGCTGGCCGTGGTCCTGGACGGCCACCACTAGACTCTGCTTGAGCGTGTCTCTGTCCTGCAGGGCCCGTGCTGTGCGCACCTCGCCCGTGTGCAACCCCACCACAAAAAGCCCTGGCTCGCTGGCCTTGAGCAGACGGTAGGACAACCAGGCGTTCTGTCCTGAGTCGCCGTCTACTGCCACCACTTTGGTCACCAGGTAGCCGGGTTCTGCAGACCGGGGAGCTAGCTCTACACCAGTAGAGCCGTCGGTGGGAAAAGTGGGGTACAAGATCTTGGGTGAATTGTCGTTCTGGTCCAGCACGAACAGGCTCAGCGACACGTTGCCGCTGAGCGGCGGGTCCCCGCTGTCGGTGGCAGTTATTTGTAGCTGCAGGTCTCGGATCTGCTCATAATCGAAGGATTGGAGTGCATAGAGTACGCCAGTGTCGGAGTTGATGGAGAGATAGGAGGAGAGTGGCGCCCCCTGGAGGGTGTCTTCAATCAGCGAGTAAGTGACCCGAGCGTTCTCCTCGCTATCCGGGTCATTTGCAGTTACCGAGAAGATGGAGGCGCCTCTGGGGTTGTTTTCTGGAATATAGGCGGAGTAAGAGGCCTGAGGGAAAGCTGGCGGATTGTCGTTGGTGTCCGCCACGTGCAAGACGATGTGAGTTGCAGTAGACAGAGGTGGCACGCCTAGGTCTGAGGCCATCACCGAGATATTGTACATGGAAACTTTTTCTCTGTCCAAATATTCCCATGTCACCAATCTATAATAGTTATTTATTGACTTTTCTAACTTAAAAGGCAAATTATCAGGTGTGTGACAGACAACTTGACCATTCTTTCCAGAGTCCCGGTCATGCACATTCAATAAGGCAATTATTGCCCCAGGAAGAGAATTTTCCAAGACTGGACTAAACAAAGATGTAACGATCACTTCGGGTCTATTGTCATTTACATCTTCCACAGAAATGAGCACTTTAGTCCTCCCCAAAAGTCCTCCCACATCTTCAGCTTGTATTTCCATTTCATAAAATGTACATTCTTCATAATCTAGATTTTTTGCTGTTGATATTTCCCCGGTATTCTCATTAAGGTGGAATAAGGGAGAATGTTTTTCATTAATTTTCCGGAATTTATAAGTCACTTTTCCATTGGTTCCCTCATCCGGATCGGTAGCTCTTACAGTTAGCAGCCGGGTGCCCTGGGGCACGTTCTCTGGGACTTTCACTCGGTAAATCGGTTGAGCAAAAACCGGGGCATTGTCGTTTGTATCCAGCACTGTCACATGGATGCGCACTGTGCCGGAGCGACGCGGGTCGCCGCCGTCAGCGGCGGTGAGGACCAGGTGGTGAGCAGCCTCTTGCTCGCGGTCCAGAGCGCGCTCCAGCACCAGCTCCGGGGTTATAGTTCCGTCGTCTGCAGTTTGCACGTCCAGGGAGAAGTGGTGATTGGGGCTGAGCTGGTAGCTCTGGAGGGAGTTCACGCCCACGTCCGGATCAACAGCTTCTGGGAGTGAATAACGTGTTCCAGGAGCAGCGATTTCGTTCATTCTTACTTCCAGATTTTCAGCCTGGAATTTTGGAGTATTGTCATTGATATCAGTTATTTCTATTTCTATCCCAACAAGTTTCCCTCTATCTTCAACCAGAATGTTAATATTTACAAGACAGCGGGCACTCTGGGCGCAGAGCTCCTCCCGGTCTATCCTGTCCGCTGTGGTCAAGCTGCCGCTTTTTGGGTTCAGAGCAAAGAGCTGGGTCTTACCTCTGGAGATGATGCGGACTCCGTGCTCCGCCAACTCTTGTGACTTTAGCCCTAAGTCTTTGGAGAGGTTGCCTACAATATAGCCTTTGTCTGTCTCTTCGGGCACTGTGTAGCGAATCTGCCCAGTCCCAGTCTCCCACAGCATCCCCAGGAAAACGCACAGCAGGACCAGCTCGCTGCGTTCTCGAGAATTACTTGGAGCGGCCATTTTTCTTTCGCTACGGAATCCTTTCAGTCTTCACTAGGCATACTGTGTCCTGCTTTACCTTTCTATTGGCGCTATAAACCGGAAAGTCTGAGTGCCCCAAATTCCGAGACTGCGTTTCGCTGTAGTCCAAGAGTGCCTCTGTGGAATCTGCGCGTCTTTGTGAAGTGGGAGCCCCGAGTATATCCGGAGGATGCTTTGGTTGCATTTCTCTCCAAGTAGGTGAACAGCGGCGCTTAGAGTCCTAATCTGTTACTACATCCATTTCGCTATGTAACACTCTGTGCTAGGTTACTGAGAAAATACTAGTTTTTTTTTTTCGATGCTTTGTTTTGAATTTATTTAACTTCACCCTCAATTTATATTTCAGAAGTAATTACCAAGGAATATAGGATGAATTGGGGTTAGAGTTTTATAAACTATTATTAAATTTTCAGATCTGTGGATTAGCATTATATTAAATTACTCACATACCTAGAAGACAGGTGCTCTTTTAAAATATATAAATTATGACAACTTTCTTTCCCATGTGTTCTCAGCTTTAGGAAGAATGTCTTCAACTTCTATTTATCAAATAAGTAAGAATTGCAGTTGTTACTGGAAATGAATTCATATTAAGGCTAAAATTGATCTATTGGAGATGCTTCACTCGGAAGTTGTTTCATTTCTTTTTAATTAATTAATTATTATAGTAAGCTTTGTAGAGAGTCATTGCTTTGTAATTTTTAAAAATGCCGTTTTCATTACTCAGTAACTAATACTTTAAAATTAATATTATGAATTTTTTAGGGTAAAGGCTTTCACAATTTAAGTTTCACTAGAGATTATATTATTTTGTTATTTTATTTAAATTATTTATATTTTTCAATTTGAAAATGAAAATATCTGAAAGGCACAAATAAATACATATTAAAAAGCAAATTTCCACCCCATCTCCTCTTCCAATAAGAAATGATTAACATTTTAAGCAGCTTTAATAAACTTAAAATAAGCAAACATTCTAAAGTTAATTTTACCTTAACTAGTACTTTGATCAAAAGAATCACAAAAATAAAGAACATATGATTACCACTAACACATGAAACATTGTCACTACAAAATGTCTGTTCCTTTCTGCAGTTTGTAGAGAAGCTATTAACTGAAGCAGTTGCTAAGGGAAACTGAGCAAAAGGTTGATACAATGTACTGTCACCTTTGTGTGCACATCAAATAGCAGATTTGTCTGAACTTTTGAAGCATTTAAGACTGTTTAACTCCTGGAGATAGTAGAATGATCAGAAGACCTCTAGTCATATTTTTTGGGGCTGCAAATTAGACAGTTGGAAAATTATATATCAAGAGTGTCTATGAGAAGAGCAACACAGGGAAAAGTATGATCTTTTCTTTGATAGAGGAGCCTATTGAATGAATTTCAGTACAGATTAATTCTGAGAAAAATCTATGTTGCAAGAAAGTAGAACATGCTTTGATGTTTTATGAGCATAATGGACCTTCTACTAAGTAAAATGATCACATGTACACACCTACACTGCCTATTGCATATAATTACAAGGGGTCCATGGACACAAAAACCCACCATAAAATATTTTATTCTAGGAGTTTCTGTAACAAAAAAAAAAAGAGATAAGTGAATATAAGAAAGTAAAACACAAGAAATAAAATGCCAGAATAATATGAAAACCACAATGTGTAATGGTGTGAAAACCACAATCAGTGAAGAAAGACATCTAATTTAGATTAAAATATTTTGCTTTAAGGTTCATGGAAATGACTGCCCACCATTATATTTATAGTATGTCCAAGAATTTAAAAAGTATTCACTAAATATCAGAAGGAAGATGGGGCAATCTACTTCCGTAGTGATACTGCTTGGGAAACCCAAGGAGGGGTCGCTATGGGTCGGGTCTGACTCGAGGGCATATAACAACAACAACAACAAATATTAAGTGAGAGGAAGAAAAAATTATGGGAAAATCTCATTAGATTAAACTTCCCTACAAGTCATATAGGGAGCTCTGGTAGCATAGTGGCTAAAGCACTTGACTGCTAACCAGAAGGCTGGCGGTTCAAACCCACCAGCCACTCCTCGGAAGGAAGGTTGGGCAATCCTACTTCCGTAGTGATACTGCCTCGGAAACCCAAGGAGGGGTCCTATGAGTCAGGGCCTACTCGACGGCACATAACAACAAACAACAACAACAGCAAGTCATATAATAGCTCCCTTTTCACCACTTCCTTGAAGAATGGAATGACTGGCTGGAACTTCTTAAGACACTAGATAAAAAATGGCCTATTTTCCTGTGACTATGGATAACGAAAAGTAGGTTATGTTTCAAGGAAACTCACCGGATGGGAAGTCGACTCACTGGCATTACATAGTGGAGATAAAGCTCCAGATGAATCACCACAGAGTATGTCTTGTCCTGAATTGAATTGCTCACTACATTTCAGGAAGTTAAATTCCGTGTTTCCCATCTGTGCCACACACAGATTGTAGGAATAAGGTAAAGTGCCCTCGCTGTAGTTGGGGAGAACCGCAGGTCCAGACTTGGAACAAAGACCAGGCTGAAAGCAGCTCCAGGCACTGGGACTAGAGGAACGTCGCAGGTGCAGGGTAATGGCCAGAATCACCGCGAGGAGGAAGAGCACGGAGATCAAGGCCAAGGCCACGACCAGATAAAACTGCAGCTCTGCCTGGGGATCAGGGGGTGCAGGGTGATCACTGAGGTCTGGCAGCGCCTCCTGCAGGCTGTCTGCGAAGACCAGGTGCAGCGTGGCTGTGGCTGAGAGGGACGGTTGCCCTCCATCGCGCACAGCGACCAACAAACGCTGGCGGGCCACGTCTTTGTCGCCTAAGGCGCGTGCTGTGCGTACTTCACCCGTGCGCAGCCCCAGATTGAACAGTCCAGGTTCGCTGGCCTGCAGCACGTGGTAGGATAGCCAGGCGTTGTGCCCGGAGTCTGCGTCCACCGCCACCACCTTGGTGACCAAGTAGCCAGGCTGCGCGGCGCGTGGCACTGTGTCGAAGAGCGCAGAGCCGTCGGGTCCCAGCGCCGGGTACAGCACCTTGGGCGCGTTGTCATTGCGGTCGTCCACCAGCACGCGCAGGCTCACGTTGGCTCTGAGCGTGGGCGACCCCTGGTCACGCGCCTGCAGCGTCAGCTCGAAGGCGCGCAGCTGCTCGTGGTCGAAGGCGCGCTGCGCGAACACCACTCCACTCTGCTCGCTCACAGACACGTAGGAGGACAGCGCCCGAGGTTCCAGGTCACTGGCCACGATAGCATAAGACACTAGGCCATTTAGTCCCAAGTCAGGGTCATAGGCGCTAACTTGAGCGATAGAGGCGCCAGGAGGGTTGTTCTCAGCCACGTGGACAGCATAAGAGGCCTGAAGGAACACCGGAGCGTTGTCATTGACATCCCCGATGTGTAAGGTGATGCTTGTGCTGGAGGATAGTGGCAGCTTGCCTCTGTCAGTGGCTGTTATGGTGACGTTGTACTCTGGGGTCTGTTCTCGGTCTAAATCCCCGTCTGTCACTAACTTGTACGTGTTCCTTGAAGAAGTGAGTATTTTAAACGGAACATCACCTTCTAACTTACAAGAAACTTCTCCATTGTCTCCAGAATCCTTGTCACGTACTTTGAGCAAAGCAATATAGGTTCCTAGCTCAGTGTCTTCCATAACTAAGTCGGTTAGAGATTGGACTATCACTTCCGGGACGTTGTCGTTTTCATCTAGGACTTCTACCTCCACTGTACATTGCGCAACCATTCCTCCACCATCCCTTGCTTCTAAAACCATGGAATAGTCTTTGACTTCTTCAAAATCTAACGTACTTAGAAGAGTAATTACCCCAGTACTTGGATCCACATCAAACTGGGTGATCTGGTCTGCTTCGCTGAAAGAGAAGGTGATCTCTGCATTGACACCTTCGTCCTGATCGGTAGCCATCACGCGAAGCACAGTAGTGCCTGGGGACAAGTTTTCCCGTAGACCCACCCGATATATATCTTGGCTGAACACCGGGGGGTTATCGTTGGCGTCAGTCACTAGGATCTGTATCTGTGCGGTGCTGGTTAGGGGTGGATCACCACCGTCCAAGGCAGTTAAGGTCAAGCGGTAGGATTTCTGTTCTTCTCGATCTAAAGGTGTCTTCAGTATCAGCTCCGGATATTTACTTCCATCTAATTTCTCTTTATTCACGAGTGTGAAATGATCGTTGGGGCTGAGCTGATAATTCTGTAGAGAGTTGGTACCTATATCTGCATCATGGGCAGATCCTAAAATAAATCGTGTGCCAGGCTTTGTGGATTCGCTTATTTGAAGTTCAAAGGCGTTTTGCATGAATTTTGGTGTGTGGTCATTGACATCCTCGATCTCCACATTCACGTGGTAAAAGTTTAACGGATTTTCAGCAACAGCCTCAAAGTCCAGAGCACAGGCCGCCTTCTTCCCGCATATCTGCTCCCGGTCTACCCTGCTGCTCACAAGTAACTCGCCACTCTCTGCGCTCACAGTGAAGTGAGGCTTCTCCGAACTGACCCGCAGTTTTCGAGTCGGTAACTCGTGCACACCGAGCCCCAGGTCCTTGGCCAGGTTCCCCACCACCGAGCCCTTGGGCATTTCCTCGGGAATCCTGTAGTGGATCTGCTCCGAGAGCGCCAGGCC